CTGGAGCAGCCAGACCTGGGGCAGTGGCAGCCAGGCCTGAGGCGGAGGCGGCCAAGCCCAGGGTGGCCAGTCTAGGAACACCCAGACCCGTAGTGGTCGGGCCCAGAGCAGCAGGTTGGGAGCAGCCAGGCCCAGAACAGCAGTAGCCAAGCCCGGAGCATCCAGGCCGGGAGTGGCCAGACTCGGAGCGGCCGGGCCCAGAGCAGCCGGGTCTGGTGTGGCCAGGCCCGGAGCAGCGGCTGCCAGGCTGGGAGCGGCCAGGCCTGGAGCAGCCGGGTCTGGTGTGGCCAGGCCCGAAGCAGCGGCTGCCAGGCTGTGAGCGGCCAGGCCCGGAGCAGCAACTGCCAGGCTGGGAAAGGCCAGGCCCAGAGCAGCCGGGTCGGGTGCGGCCAGGCCCGGAGCAACAGCTGCTAGGCTGGGAGCGGCCAGACCCAGAGCAGCGGCTGCCAGGCTTGGAGCGACCAGGCCCAGAGCAGCCGGGTCTGGTGCGGCCAGGCCCGGAGCAGCAGCTGCTAGGCTGGGAGCAGCCAGGCCCGGAGCAGCCGAGTCGGGTGCGGCCAGACCCGGAGCAGCAGCTGCCAGGCTGAGAGCGGCCAGGCCCAGAGCAGTCAGGTCGGGTGCGGCCAGGCCCGGAGCAGCAGCTTCCAGGCTGGGAGCAGCCAGGCCCGGCTCCGGGCCCAGAGCAACCGGGTCGGGTGCGGCCAGGCCCGAAGCAGCCGGGTCTGGTGCGGCCAGGCCCGGAGCAGCAGCTTCCAGGCTGGGAGCAGCCAGGCCCAGAGCAGTCAGGTCGGGTGCGGCCAGGCCCGGAGCAGCCGGGTCTGGTGCGGCCAGGCCCGGAGCAGCAGCTGCCAGGCTGAGAGCGGCCAGGCCCAGAGCAGTCAGGTCGGGTGCGGCCGGGCCCAGAGCAACCGGGTCGGGTGCGGCCAGGCCCGGAGCAGCAGCAGCCAAGTCCAGAGCAACTAGGTCGGGAGCGGCAGTGACCAGACCCGGAGCAGCTGGTTGTGGAATGAACCAGAGCAACAGAGGCCAGGCCCGGAGTAGCCAGGCCTGGAACAGCTCACTCCTCGCCTGCCCCTGCCCCACGGCTGCCTCTCAGACATGGCTGGAAACTTTTGCGGGAACTTGAGGGTCTGCTGAATCAAGTGATGAAGGCTTAGATCTGGATGTGTTGAGTTATTTATAGTATAGCGCTGGGGTGTTGATCTGTGAGTGCCTTGGGTGGGGCCTGGATGAGGCTGGTTGACCTATTTAGAAATGTCTTTTGTGTGAAGTGTATCATTGGGCATGTGGAGGTATTATTGATATGAGAAAATGCTAAGTAACTGAATTACTATCTGAAAAAGGATTTACTATCGGGAAAAGGGAGGGAGGAAGAGACTGAACATAAACTGTGCACCTATGGATGAGGACAATGGGGGATGGGGAGGGGGCAGAGGGTGGGGTGGGAACCTGGTGGAGGGGGGAGGAAATGAGGAACCTTTGTAATAATATGAACAATAAAGATTGATTTTTAAAAAAAATAAAAATAAATAAATAAAATCATAGTCTGCAGAAATTCACAAGTAATCAACAACAATTTAAAAAAAACCTGAAATTTACAAATGATTACAGCGAAGTCACAGGATACAAGGTTAATGTACAAAAGTCAATTGCTTTTTTATATACTAGTAATACATCATGGGAATTTCAAATTAAAAACACAAAGTAGCACTTACATTACCAACAAAAAAAGAAAAACTTAGATAAAAATATAACAAAATATTTATAAGATCTATATGGGGAAAACTGCAACACTCTAATGGAAGAAATCAAAGAACTAAATAAATGGAGAGATGTTCATGAATAGAAAGACTCAATATTGTCAAGCTGTCAGTTTTTCCTCAATTATTTTATAGAATCAAGGCAATCCAATCAAAATCCCATCAATATCCCACGGTATGCACAAACTGTTTCTAACTTTTATAGGTAACACAGGATTGGGGAAGTGCCAGTCAGCTGTAGACTCTGTATAAAGAGATTGTAATCAAGACAAGGCGGTGTTGGTGAGAGACAGACACGCAGATCAGTGGGACAGGATAGAGGGCCCGGAGAGACCCACACCAGTCAGTTGATTCTGACCACAGAGCAAAAGCAACTCATGAAGAAAGAAGAGTCTGTTCAGCAAACACTGCTGAAATAACAAGAGGAAAAGTGAGTCCAGACACAGACCTTCTACCTTTTCCACAAATTAACTCAAAATGATCATCGAGCACAGACATATAAAACTCCTAGAAGATAACATGATAGGAGATCTAAGAGATCTTGGGTTTAGTGATGACTTTTTAGATGTAACACCGAAAACAGAATCAAAGAGAGGGGGGAACAGGTAAGCTGGAGTTAAAACTAAAAATGTCTGCTCTGTGAAAGGCACTGTTTAGAAAATAAGACAACTAGCCACTGACTGGACCAAAATATTTTCAGGGTTTGATAAAGGATTAGAACCCAAAATCTTAAAGAGGAATCCCTAAAACTCACTAACAAGAAAATGAACAATATAATTTTTAGGAATTGGTCAATGATCCGAAGAGACCCGCAGTGAAGGAGAAATACAAATGGCCAACAAGAATGACAAGATGCTCCCCACCACCTATCGCCAAGGAAATGCAAATTAAAACCAGCAGAGGCCAGCACACACCTGTTCCACCAGCTAAAATCCAAACACTGACAGCGCCAGCTGCTGGTGAGGAGGGAGCTGCTGGGGTGCACGCGGTGCAGTGCAGTGGAAGACTGCATTTTACACACACACACCCCAAAGTGCACTCCTGCCCTCTGACCCAGCGTTGCACTCTTTAGTACTTACCCAAATGAACTGAAAACTTATGTCCACACAAAAACGGTTCATGCATGTCAGAGCAGCTTTGCTCATAATTGGTAAGACTCAGAAGCAGCCAGGATGCCCCTCAGCAGGTGATGGAGAGAGGGCGGTCCCTTCAGACAGTGGGAGAGTAGTCAGCTCTAAAATCAAACGAACTATTGAGCCACGAGAAGACATGGCAGAGCCTTAACTGCACATGATTGAGTGGCAGAAGCCCGTGGGGAACGGCTACATGCTTCACCGTGTGATTTCAGCTCTTACGTGGAGAAGACAAAACTGGGACAGCGCGCCATGGACCGAGTGAGTGACAGCGCCGGCCATCGCTTTAACCTCGTCCTCCTGCGAGTGTGGACAGGGCAGCGGGGAGCCCCGCTCCCACTCCGCCGGGACGCGTCCTGCCAGAGAAAGACGCTGTGCGCAGCCACCGGGGCCTCTGAGGGCCGGGCCTCTGGCCGGGGCGAGGCTACCCAACAGAACACCGAGGCCTGGGTGCCCTGTCGGCCTTGGGCCCACAGGCTGGCGCAGCTCTGGTTAAGTCCAGGCCGCCTCCAGGGGGCTCGGGGGGCTCGGCCTGAGTGCTCCTCCGGGCTGCAGGCTGCAGCTCCTGCCAGGCCCGGGCGGCCCTGCGGCTGCACCTGGAGAGGCGCTGCTCCGGGCGGGTGCTGGGCCCGGCGCCGCGGGTGCCGCTCTCCTGGCAGAAGGCGCTGGGCTTGAAGTCTCTCTCCCAAGCGGCCTCTCTGGACCGGAAGGTGGTCCCCACAGGGAGGGCCTGTGCGAGCTGCAGGCTGGGCTCCACCTGCTGCGCTCCTCTCCAGACGCAGCGGAGGCGCCGGCTCTCCGCGGGGACAGCCTGAGCCAGGTCACCGCCTGCGGAGCCCCTGCCACCGGCCCGGAGGACGCTCTGAGATTGCTTCCAGAACCCGGGGGGAGGGGGGGGGGTAACCACCTGCTGACACCCCTCCCGGCACAGCTGTGAGTGGGCAAAGCCCCAAAGCGGCTTCCCCTCCGCCACCAGGCTCCCCGCAGGGAGGGCCCGCTGTCTGAAGCCCGCGCCAGCCTCTCACCCGCCGGAGCGCGCAGGGCGCCTGCACGGCGCACGTGGTGACCGGCCTCCCGGTGGACAAGCCCTCCGGCCAAGCAATGCGTCCCGGAGCTGCCCGCCCGCCGCAGCGGCCAGCAGGGCGCCCGGCACAGCGCCTCCTCCCCGCAGGGATGCGCTGCTCCCGGGGAGGCTGCTGCGGGGACCCCCCCATGCCGGCGGGCTGAGCGCACTGTGGCCAGAGGAGCGGGGCGGGCCTGAGGGAGCACACGGCGCCCGGGGTCCGCTGCGCCCCAGCCGCTCGCCTGGAGCCAGACCTCGGCAGAATGCTGTTCCCACCGGGCAGACAGGAGAGATACTTAGAGGACAGACAGACAGGGAGGCAGAGGGCAGCATTCAGGGCGCGGTGCTGAGCGATGCGGGAGCGCCAACCGCGCGGACAAAGGCGAAGGGCCCGGCCGACGTGCGGGTTTGAAATTGTTTCCAAACAGCTGCACTCCGCAGAGCGTGTGCCTTCGCCGCCGCCGACAGCCCTCTGGTGCTCCCGGGAGCGAGGCACTCCCGCCTCCCGCCTCCGGCCCGGCCTGCGGGCTCCGGCTCTGCGGGCCGCACAGACCCCTCCCCCAACCCGCCGGGAAGCCCGCCTGCCCCCCTCCGCACGATCCTCGCGGCTTCCGGGGAGCGGGGTGCACGGTGCTAGCCCCGCTGCGCGGTCCGCCGGCAGCTCCCCGGCCCGAGGGTGGGGTGAGGGTGGGGGTGGGGGGGGTGAGGTGGAAGTAGGGGTGGGGGTGGGGTGAGGTGGAAGTGGGAGTGGGGGTGGGGGTGGGGGTGGAGGAAGGGTAGGGTGGGTGGGGGTGGGGGTAGGGATGGAAATGGGAGTGAGGGTGGGGGTGGCGTGGGGTGGGGTGGAGGTGGGGGTGGAGGTGGGGTGAGTGGGGGTGCGGTGGGGGTCCCTCCCAGCCCCTCTCCCGCCCTCTCCTCCCGGACTTGGCCACAGCTGCACATTCCTCACCTGCTCCGCTGCTGGCGGGAGCTGGGGGGGCTGGAGCTGGGGGGCGGGGCCGGGGGCGGGGCGGCAGCTGCGCTCGCTGGGTGTGAGGTCGGGGAGCCCAGGCTGCGCCCCATGTGGACGCGGCGGAGGCGAGATGAGGGCGCTGGCGCTGCTGCCGCCCGCGCTGCTGACCTGCTGCGGCTGGCTGCTCGCCCCGGTGAGTGCGGCCCCGACCGACCGCCCCCCCCTCCGCGCCCCCCCGGGTCCGGGCAGCAGGACCCGGCGCCGCGAGGAGCAGGACAGGGCCGGTCGGAAGCGGCGGTCGCCTCCTCCCTGCCGCCCTCAGGGACTAGCGGACCGGACCGGACCGGTGCCCAGTGGGCCCAGCGGGGACGGGCCAGGGGACGGAGTCTGGTGCTGCCGTTTGGTGTCAGGGGACGCGATGGGCCCAGGAAACTCCCCTGTGGAAACTCCGGGTCTGTTTGTTACAGAAGAGCGGGAGGTTTGTCACCTCTGCCACCCCTGTCCTTCAGCCTGTCAGAGCCGCGGCATTTCGGGTTTAGGGGTGAACCTACCTACCCCCGCCAATACTCAGTGTTGGCTGGAGCTGGTCAACAGTAAAAGCAGAATTTTGTTCAGACAGGGGGTGGGGCCCAGCCCCAGCCTGGGGGGGACGCTCCGCACTGAGGACCCTGTCCGGTCCTCCTCTGTTTGCAACAGGCCGCTGTGTGGGGAGCACAGCCCAGGCACAGGCGCCCTAGAACTGTGCCCGAAACCCGTATAATCTTGTTAATTATCGGGCGCGGAGGACGGGGACCAGGTGCGCCGTGGCACACAGCTCCCTGGATGCTCCGATAAGTGGCACCCCGATAAATGTAATAAAAAGGGGGAGCTAGTTGGTTAAAAGTACCCAGAATTAAGGCTAATGTTGCTTTAACTTCTAAGATGCCCCCGAATACGTGTGTATTCCAAGAATGTCACTATGTATTTTAATGCCTTAACAAAAATTTGTGTTTTTTTTAAGCCAATAGAATGCCTCTAATCCTGACATTTAACCCCCCGCTGCTCACACAGGAAAGCGGGCGGGAAGAGGCTGTCGCTGGTGGCCGCCCCGGATTGGGCAAACACCCCGGTCTGTTTTAACAGAGGAGACAGACGCGCTGAAAGCAGCAGCGCTCCGTTTCCGGGCCCTTCTCCTGGCGAGAAGCTTAACGGGCTCCTTCCGATGGCGTTGTCAGCGGGAGGACGTGGAACAGGCGGCTAGAACGTGCCCATGCGCATGACTTTCTTCAGTAAAAGCAGAATTCTGTTCAGGCGGGAGGGGTGCCCAGCCAGCCTGCACTGGGCGCTGGGGCCGGGGAGATGGAGCCCCGGGCTCTGCTCCCAGAGCGATGCGGCCAGGACAGGGGCCTGTGCTGTGTGTCTTGCACGGAAACAGCTCCGGAAGGTCTTGTTTAGTGGCAGGGGTGTGACTGCCCACATTCCCTCTTCCCGCCTCCCGCCCATCTTCTTAGAAAAGCACTTCACCCCAAATCCTCAGGTGGGGTTCCTACCGTGACCTGCAGCCCCGGCAGATAGGTCACCAGGGGGCTCTCGTGTGGATGGGAGGCTGCTGGCTTCTGGGCGGCTCCTTGGCTGGTCTCACCAGTGAACACGGACTTGCTGTCATTAAATCAGGGCTATGACATGGAGGACTCGAATGTTGAAAGTTATGGAGTTATGGCCAAAACCGGTTTGGCTCAGTGGATAGAGCGTCGGTCTGCGGACTGAAAGGTCCCAGGTTCGATTCCGGTGAAGGGCATGTACCATGGTTGCGGGCACATCCCCAGTGGGGGGTGTGCAAGAGGCAGCTGATCAATGATTCCCCCTCATCGATGTTTCTAACTCTATCCCTTCCTCTCTGTAAAAAATCAATAAAAAATATATATTTTTTAAAAGAGTTATTGGGGCCGAAACCGGTTTGGCTCAGTGGTAGAGCGTCGGTCTGCGGACTGAAAGGTCCCAGGTTCGATTCCGGTCAAGGGCATGTACATTGGTTGCGGGCACATCCCCAGTGGGACATGTGCAAGAGGCAGCTGGTCGATGTTTCTCTCTTATTGATGTTTCTGGCTCTCTTTCTCTTTCCCTTCCTCTCTGTAAAATATCAATAAAATATTTTTAAATAAATAAATAAATAAATAAACAAATAAATAAATAAAAATAAAAGAGTTATTGGGTTAAAGAGCTCTATTGCTGCCAAATTGTACTCTAGCAACATACCATCATGCCATGTATTCTGTGAGTTTGCTTTCCTGTTCAGAAGACATGCTGGTGGGTTTTATATCGCTTTTATGATTCCTTCACAAAGGAAACGGTCAGCTTTTAAGCTAATCCTGCCAGAAACATGAAGGTGCTCGCTTTCAATGACCATTTGTTTGGAAGCAGAGTAAAACTCTTCAGTTTTGGGGTTTTGTGGAACATTTGCTTGAGTGTCCACTTAGGGAAGAATTTTTACTCATTTCTGCTTTTTTAAACACTGACCAGGTGAGCAGCGTTCACCCCGAGTGCCAAGTTCACCTGGAAATGCAGGAGGAGGAAGCAAAATGTGCCGACCTCCTCACGGCCCAGCCAGGGGCTCACAAAGGTAAGGCAGGCCTGGCGGTGAGGCGTGCGGGAGAGGAGGGGCACACTGCAGCAAACAGCTCACCCCCTCTGCAAACAGGTGTTGCGGGTCACCTGTATCTTAAAAAAAGAAAACAGGTCTATTTTCACACTTTTTAATAAACTTCTGGTAAAACTCATATGGAGGGGAAGGCCCTTCACACAAACTTTTTAAAAGAAAGCTCATGTCCTTCACAGAAACTGTCTCCATGGTTTAAGACAATAGCAACTGCTACTAAAATAATGTCATGGATGTTCCCTGCTTTGCAAAAGCAACTCCGTTTTCCAGGAGTGTTTATCTGGTTTCCTGCATTTTAATCCCTAGTGACATCACAGGTGATTTTGATCCATTAAGAACAATGGAAACTTGTCGGAACTCAAGCAGGAAAACAAGATGTTTGTTCCCCTGAAGACAGGCCCAGTGTCAGTGCCTTCCGGTCAGCAGGGCGGCTGGGGCGCAGGCCCTGAGCCGGCTCGGGCACATGAGTAGCCACAAGGTCTGGCGTGGCACACAGGTTATAAACAGAAGCAAGCCCTTCCTCCTTCAGCTTTCCTTGTCTCTGGTCTGTGTCATTACTTTATCCTTTTTAAGAGAAAAAATTAAATTCAAAGTAAGGCCATATGTTAAAACAGCCGGTGCAGACCCGGCTCAGTGCACACCCAGCTCTGTACAGACTGGGCTCCGTGCACACCCAGCTCCGTACAGACTGGGCTCCGTGCACACCCGGCTCTGTGCACACCCGGCTCCGTGCACACCTGGCTCTGTGCAGACCGGTCTCCCTACAGACCCGGCTCCAACACACCCTGCTCTGTGCACACCCGGCTCCGTGCACACCTGGCTCCAAACAGACCGGGCTCCGTGCACACCCGGCTCCGTGCACACCCGGCTCCATGCACACCCGGCTCTGTACAGACCGGTCTCCATACAGACCCAACTCCTGCACACCCGGCTCCGTACACACCTGACTCCGTGCATACCCGGCTCCATGCACACCCAGCTCTGTACAGACCGGTCTCCGTACAGACCCAGCTCCTGCACACCCGGCTCTATGCACACCTGGCTCCGTACAGACCCGGCTCCAACACAGCCGGCTCCGTGTACACGCGGCTCCATGCACACCCGGCTCCGTGAACAACCTGCTTCGTGCACACCCGGCTCCGTGCACAACCTGCTCCGTGCACACCCGGCTCCATGCACACCCGGCTCCGTGCACAACCTGCTTCGTGCACACCCGGCTCCGTGCACAACCTGCTCCGTGCACACCCAGCTCTGTACAGACCGGTCTCCGTACAGACCCAGCTCCTGCACACCCGGCTCTATGCACACCTGGCTCCGTACAGACCCGGCTCCGACACAGCCGGCTCCGTGCACACCCGGCTCCATGCACACCCGGCTCCGTACAGACCCGGCTCCGACACAGCCGGCTCCATGTACACGCGGCTCCATGCACACCCGGCTCCGTGCACAACCTGCTCCGTGCACACCCTGCTCCAGGCACACCTGGCTCCGTACAGACCCGGCTCCGACACAGCCGGCTCCATGCACACCTGGCTCCGTACAGACCCGGCTCCATGCACACCTGGCTCCGTACAGACCCGGCTCCGACACAGCCGGCTCCGTGCACACCCTGCTCCATGCACACCTGGCTCCATGCACACCCGGCTCTGTGCACACCCGGCTCCGTGCACACCCGGCTCCGTGCACATCCAGCTCTGTGCACACCTGGCTCCGTGCAGACCGGTCTCTGTACAGACCCGGCTCTGTGCACACCCAGCTCCGTGCACACCCTGCTCTGTGCACACCCTGCTCCAGGCACACCTGGCTCCGTACAGACCCGGCTCCGACACAGCCGGCTCCGTGCACACCCTGCTCCGTGCACACCCGGCTCCATGCACACCTGGCTCTGTACAGACCCGGCTCTGACACAGCTGGCTCCGTGCACACCCGGCTCGCGCAGATGGCGCTGCCCAGTAGAAACAGAAGAAGAAGAGGGTTGGCTGGGCAGCTGTGGACTTTCCAGGAGCCACATTAAAACAAGTAAAAAGAAACACGTGAGATTAGTTTAACTAACATTTTATGTGTCCAAATATATCTGAATTGTTATCGTTTAAACTGCTAGTGAATCGAACATATTAGGGAGAATTTATACATTTTCTTTTGTGTTGCGTTTGGACTGCCGGAGCCTTGGCGCTGGCCTGGTCTCCAGGCTCTTCCGGCCTCAGGAGCACTATCCGTGTCACGCGGTGCCGGTGGCTGCACCTCGCGGTTCCCGTTAACTGTGTCCAGAGAGAGGCTGATGGAGTGGCTCACCTCACCACAGGCAGGGCTTCTGTCCCCACACACTGACCATCGGTCCTATGACATCAAAGAGACTGGGTCCCACCAACCGGGCCTCTTGACAAAGTAGTCGTCATGGCCACTGGGTGGGCCCTCGGGAACCCAGGAGACGTAAGGAGAGGAGAGACGGAGTGGAGATGAGGAGGGCAGTTAGAATCCTCTAGTTCATGGTCAGGGACCCGCTTCTCTCCACACCCAGTGCCGGCGACCGCTGAGGGTCCCACAGAACCCTCCTTCCCGTGGGTGAGCCGGGCCCTTTGGGAATCCTCGGGGTGCAGGTACCCCGACAGCAGCCAAGCTGTGGACATGGGCTCCCCAGGCCATCCAGCTGGGCGTTGGCTGCAATTTAGTGGGCTATTGCTCTGGGGTGGTGGTGGGACCTGTGTTCCACTTGGGGGAAACCGAGTATTGTTTTGTGGGCGCTAAGTCCATGGTGCCACTTCTCTGTGTGCATCACAGCAGCTCCTTCATGGAGCATCTGCCCCCTGGTGGTCAGTGCACATCATAGCAACCAGGCGGTCAGACACTTAGCATGTTAGACTTTTATATATACTAGAGGCCTGGTGCACAAAATTCATGCAAGAATAGGCCTTCCTTCCCCTGTTTGCAGGCACCGGCTTCCCTCAGGCACCCAGGACCTGGGCTGCTTCGCTCTAGCCACTGCCACCACCCACCAGGGGCGTGCTCTGAGCCACACTGCGTGGCCACTCGGAGCACGCCCATCCCTGCTGTGTGCCCACTGGGGCTGAAGGCAATACAGCCTCCTCCTGAGCCGGTGGTGATGCCTGGCTAACTCCATGTTACCTGTTTATATATGTAGACTCGAGGCCCGGTGCATGAAATTCAAGCAAGAGGAGGCCTTCCTTCCCCTGGATGCCAGCACGGGCTTCCCTCTGGCACCCGGGGCCCAGGCTCCTCTCTCAGCCTTGGCTTCATTCAGAAGGTTATCTGGTCTGATTAGCATGTTATGCTTTTATTATTACAGATAGATTATATATAATGAGATATTGTAAAAATTAAGTTATGAAATTTTTATTAAAATGTTTCTCCTTTACTGTTATATTAACTTTGCAGCAAAATATGCATGTGGGACGCATGAGGCCTGTGGGCACGAGTGTGACATGCTTGGGCTAGAGGGTCCCAGGCCTGAGGGAAACAGCTGCGCGGGGTACAGGGAGAGGTCAGAGGGCAGGCAGCCTGTCTGTGGTCTTTGGACGCCCAGTGCCCGCTGACCTGGAGCATCTGCAGCGAGGGCTGCGTGCCGCCCCTCCCAGCCCCAGCGGAGGACGGCTGTACTATCATCTGGGCCTCCGACAGGACAGGCAGCAGACAGCACCTCCTCCCGCTGCCTCACCGCCAGCGGCTGAGTCTGCGTGGCGGGGAGTCAGGTCCCAGCAAGGGCCAGGCTCAGGGGAAGGATGAGGCCATTTTTAAAATGGAACTTGCAATCCCATTGGCGAGTCATTCCACTCGGTTCTGAGGCTCCAGGCCTTCCTGGACGGTGGCGGCTCCCTGCCCAGCTGCCCCCGCTTCCCAGAGCCGCCCCCGTGGCCAGACAGCCTCCCTCAGGGACTCTCGGGCCACTTGGAAGTAACTCCTTAGGGAGGACGTCCTCCCGCCGCTCCCGCCACAGGGCGAGGGGCCCTCCCTGTCCGGGGACAAGGAGCTCCCCGCACTGTCTGTCTGCTCACAGCTGAGGGGTCCTGGTGGCTCAGGGTGGTTGTGCTGACTCCACACCACGGAATATCAGGAAGCCTTTACACACGAGGGTGCACAGCACCAAAACTGTGACATTGCTAAACAGGAGCAAGGGAGAGGCTGGTACAGACAACGCCCTGTTTAGTAAAAACATCGATGTGTATACGGCATGTTACATGTCATAGGATGTCGTTATGATCCAAAGGCAGGTGCCCCAGAACTGGGACCCGGCGCTCTGCTCGTGTCCTTTGCCCAGTGGCCTCCCCCAGGGGGAGAGGGTCTGCAATGCTGCCTGTGCCTTGTCACAGCTCAGCACTGGCTCCTCTTGGGACTGCACCCCGGCTTTGGTCGGGGCCGGGCCGTGGACAGAAGTCTCGGGGTGCAGGCGTTGTCCAGTAAGTGCCCGCAGGCAGCCCAGCACAAGGCCCTGCCAGAGGAAGCTCCTCTCAGCCCTGCTGTTTCAGTGGAGGGGGGTCCAGGAGGGGCGCTGGAGTGACCTGGCTGTGGCACCTCCGCCCCACCCCCCAAACTCTGCTTGTGGCTCCGCTTTGAGTGGAGGGTTCCGGGGACATTTGCTCTTAAAAGTGGCCTGGCATCTCGGTGACAGAGCCCCAAACCTGAGGCCCAGAGGTGCCCATTGGGCCAAGTCAGCGGGATCGCTTACTGCGCCCGTGAGCGCAGAGCTGTGCGGCGGGCTCACCGGGTTTCCGCACGTCGGGGCTTGCACGCTGAGGAGCACACAGCTGTGCTGTTCTCAGGAATTCGTTGGTACATGTTTATTTCACAGAAAAGTAATGTGCGAGATAGGTATCTAATGAGCCGGTGTCTGTTTGCAAAGATTCACACCCGCCCGCTGACCGCCGCTCTGTGCCTCTCCCTCCCGCCGCAGCCTGCAGCGGCGCCTGGGACAACCTCACATGCTGGCGCCCCGCGGACATCGGCGAGACCGTCACGGTGCCCTGCCCTGCGGTGTTCAAGGTGTTCAGCAGCCTTCACGGCAAACCAGGTACTCCGCCCTGCGTCTCTAGGGCGCCCGGGGTCTGCTTCTCCCTCGGGCGGCCGGAGCGGGCACCCTCCCTTCACTGGGCGAGGCGGGGGACCCCCTCAGAGCAGCCTTAGGGAGAGGCTGGCAGGCAGGACCGTGTGCGCCAGACCGCAGACCAGAGCCCCGGAGCGGGCCTGGGGCAGGCAGGGTCGAGTACACATGGCCCCGACGTTTCACTGTGACCACTCAAAGCGGAGCCACCAGCAGAGTTTGGGGGGCGGGCGGAGGTGCCACAGCCTCGGGAGGGAGGTGCGTGTGTGAGGTCGAGCCGCTGAGGCCTCTGCCCTAATGGGCTCTGAGGCCCCGGCTCTTGTCTCCCTCTGAGTTTCCGGAACCGGAGGCCTCCCGGCTCCCGCGCCACAGGCCTCTGGGCTGCTCCCGAGAGGGGCCTTGTTTGGCCGTTTGGCCTTGTCTTGGACGGCCCGGCTTCAGTCACCGGAGGAAACCTGCCTGGAAACAGACAGGAGCTGAGCCTGCAGGCGGGAGGCTGTGGGACCCTCTGGTCCGGGCAGTGTCCAGGGTGGACGGGAGAACAGACGCTGACCCCTGTAGGTGGGGGGGGGGGGGTGCAGGAAGGAACGACCTTCCATCCGGACACCACACTCTACCTTCCAGGGAACATCAGCAAGAACTGCACAAGCGACGGGTGGTCGCAAACCTTCCCGGACTTCATGGACGCGTGCGGCTACCGTGACCCCGAGGACAGGAGCCAGGTGAGGCGAGCCGCCTCAGAGGGACCCTCGTGCCGCAGCGCTGCCTCTCCGGGGCCAGGCCCAGGGTGCGCGGGGCAGCGAGGCCGTGCTCTCGCTGGCCGTGCTGCGCGGCTCCCCCTGGACCAGCCCCTGCGCCCTCTGCCTCTGGGCGTCTTGTCCTGCTGCCTTCAGGTGCAGCGGAGCCGCCGGCGAGCCCCGCAGCACGGAGACAGACCCCCACATCTCTGCAGCCTGAGAGGCAGAGCCTGTTCGTCCACTGGCGGCTGCATCCTGGCACATCCCCTCTGCAGGCACCATGGGGCCGCTCAGGCCAGGCCAGGAGGGGGCCCAGGGCACAGGTCGGGGCCAGGAGGGAGGCCCCTGCAGTCACCTGTGGCCTCCACTCTTCCTGCCCCTCTACCGACCTCCTAGCACCAGCACCCATGCACGGTGGCTTCCTTCGGCAATGCCGGCCCCTCCAGAGTGAGCGGCCCTCACGTTCGGGCTCCCAGATCCCACGGTGGGGGCGCTCCGGGGCCGCCTGGTGAAACCAGAGTGTCCAGCTGACGCGTTCACCTCCCGCTCGAAGAGCTGTTTCTTGCGCGTTTCGTAGATTCCGCACATTCACAAGGCACGTCCCTAACGGATTAGAAAGTCCACAGTTTCATGTCTGAAAGTGGAGAAAATGGCACAAAACCAAAACGATGATTTTTCTTCCGGATGCAGCTTCTGCAAATACTTTGAATATGTGGCTGTTTAGGGAATTATTTCCGACGTGAACTCTGTGAGTGCGTTGGCCCCGGCCTGGCCGGCCAGCACATGGCGGGCCTGCCCAGTGCCCCGGTCTCAGTCCCCCCACCCCCCTTCTCCCCAGACCCAGGGTTTTATCAGGGTTCCCACTCACACCGCACGCTCTGCCCTGGGTGTCGGGTACAGTCTTTGCTCGTTTCTAAGTCAGTTAAGTTCGAGGAAGACAAAACAGCTTCCCCGAGGGCCCGGGGACGCAGGCACGCGGGCACCATGCGCCGTGCCAGGCGCCCCCGGAGGCACTCGTATACACGAGCTGCCAGGGCTCTTGCCTGAAGAGCACTTCTGCTAAATGTAGCCGGGAGCTGTTTGGCACTTCAGCCGACCCGTGCAGCAGGCGGACACATTTCTTCCATATTATGCCATAATCCTAAAAATACGCCCGCTCCCTCCCTCCTCCAGACTCCTGCTCACCACGATTGGCCCCTCCACCAGGTCCCCCCGGCCCGGAGCCCCCCTCACCCTGTGCTCGGTGTCCCCACGGCCCTCCGGGACGCGCCCACGTGCCCAGCGCCTGCCCGGGGAGGCAGGACCGGGCTGATGGGGGTGTCCTGGGCCTCATGTGGCTGCTCATGCTGCCAGCTACCAGCCTGAGCGCAGGCAGTCCCGCTTCGCTTCCATTGAAGCAGAGGATGGCCGCCGTGGTGTGAGAGCCACGGAGACTGTCCTCATGCGTGGCTCGTCAGAACGGGGTGGCCGGGAGCAGGGCCGTGGGGCCGGCAGGACAAGGCCGGGCAGGCGACTGGGATGATGGACAGCGGCAGCGAGCCAGTGTTCCCGCGGCCGCACAGCCCGGCCCACGGGAAACGCCCCGGCCAGACCGCCTGAGCACTCGAGACGCACGGTCAGACGGTTCACGGGACCATCGCCGGCCACTCCGATGCGCTTTCGGCGGAGCCGGAGCAAGGCACCCTGGACCAGCCATGGGTCTCTCAACAGCGGAGGGCCCGCTGCCCGGGTGCGGTGTCCAGGGAAGGTGCTCACCCAGGAGGGACGGAGCCCAAAGCAGAGCCCAGGCTCAGCGCTGGGAAGGGGACCTCAGGAAGGAGCGGGCTAAGGCCCCGCCACAAGCGCCCCCCTTGGACCCAGAGCCTGCCAGAGGTGCCTGCTCCCCTCCTTGGCTGGTGGCGATGGAGCCCAGCTCTGGGGGAGCCCCACACTTTTCGGGGCTGTGTCCAGGGGAACCCAAGGCTGGGCTCAGGCCTCTGGCAGTTTGTGCCACTGGGCCCTGGAGGTGCAGACTGGACAGGCAGATGGGGACCTTCAGGGGAAAGGCCGACAGTCCCTCAGGCCGCAGAGGCCGGGCGAGCGCAGTGAGCCGCCCTCGCTGGGAAGTGCTGGCTGCTGCCGCTCGGGGGAGCACTCCGGGCAGGACATAGGCTCACGGGGCCCTGAAGGGACTGGGCGGGCTCAGCGTGGGGGCCAGCAGTGTGAGGGGACAGGAAGCCCATCGCAGATGGAAGCAGCCCTGTGCCCCCTGCTGGGGGTGGTCCTGAGGACGGGCATCGAATCAAAGCCTCTGAGAGCGTCTGTCCGCCTGGCCACACCCAGGCAGGCGGCCCTGTCCACCCCGCTCCACAGGGAGGTGGACGGGGCGTGGCTACAACCTGCCTGAGCCACAGGGGCCCGAGCTTAAAGTGACGCCTGGCTTAGGGGAAAGAGCACATTAAACATACAAAATTAGGTATCAGAGCAAATGTGTGCTCAGGACAGCAAATGAAGTCACAGATTATAGGGCGTCGAACCCAAGAGCCCTGGGCGAGAGCCCGCCGCCCGCCCTCCCCAGCGCGGTCGCTGGCGGCCCGGCCTGCGCCCTGCCCTGGCCTGCTCTGACGCGCGGCTCGCCCGCCGGGAGGCACCTCGGAGGCTCCCGCAGCCCCTCCTCTGCCAGACAGATCCCAGGAAAGAGGGAGAGTAGAGCACACATATGTTCACACCACCACACACTCACACACATGCTCATCCAGTCACACGCATGCACACATGCTCACACACACACAGTCACACACATGCACACATGCTCACATACACACACACAGTCACACTCATACACACCCACAGTTACATATACACACACCCACGCTCACCCAGTCACACTCACACACAGTCATACTCACACACAGTTACACACACATACACACACAGTCACATGCACATTCACCCACATATACTCACACGCACACTCACCTTCACATGCTCACACACCACAGTCATACTCATATGCGCACACAGTCACATGCTCACACACTCACACTCACCCACGTGCTAACACAAACACACTCAGATGCACACTCAAACACACATGCTCACACAATCACACGCTCACACTCTCACATACTGGAATACAGAAGCAGGGACATTTTCTTCCTCCCTGGTTTCTGATTGGAGATTTGAAATGGGTCACTGGTGTCAGGCGGGTGGGCTTGGGAAGAATATGGGGTTCAGCCATGTCTCTCACCCCCCTTCTGCTGCTGGATTTTCCTCGCTTTGGTCTGAAACACGGCATTTTCAGAACCCTGTGTCACTGGAGCACGTGCACATTCCTGAGATTAAATGTCCACTTGGAGCTGCACATGTTCTGATGGAAAGGAACATGGGAAGCGCAGCGGTGTTACTCTGGAGTCCAGGTGCTGTGGGACGGGGGCCAGCCGCTGGTCCCGCCTGGGGTCTCCTGGATGCCCGCTCACCCCTGCTGCTCCTTCCAAAGTCACCCAGTGAACTGAGGGGAAGGCAGTGTTTGAAGAGGAAATGTGACCTTGAGATTGGGGGTGGGACTGTGAAGGGCCCGCCTCGGGCTCCAGGCCATCGGCAAGCGAGAGCAGCTCCTGAGCAAACTGCATCCGAGGCTGGAACTGCCCTCGGCCCCGCACTGGCCGCTCACGACGGCTCGTCTGTCTTTGTAGATCACCTTCTACGTCCTGGTGAAGGCCACCTACACCCTGGGCTACAGCGTCTCCCTGGCTTCCCTGGCCACAGGCAGCATCATCCTCTGCCTCTTCCGGTGAGTGGCACAAACGAGCAGGTCTACCGGGAACGTGAGATGGGGTTGTCTGTTGTGACACCCGAGCGTCTGAGGGGGAGACAACACAGCCTGAGCAATCTCTGCGCTGAGTCTGCTCGCCCTCGGGCTGCCGGTGGGAATGCAATGCCAGCATTTACCTTTTGTTTAACTCTTCTGCACTCCATCCATAAGGATGTAATCCTGAAGGAGGCAAGAACTCAGTGCAAGCATTACTTACCAAATACAGTCACATATTATGCAAATGCTGTAAAAACACAGAAGCAACCCTTGCCATTGGCTAGTGCTGTACCTGTGTAAGAATGAAAAGGTGGAATCCAGATTGCCTGGTTCCAATCTTGGGTTTGTCTCCTAGCAGCTGTGTGACCTTGGACACATTATCAACCTCTCTGTGCATCTGTCAAGTGTGGATCCAGGGGAGCCCACAGGGCGTGTGGCAGGCTCTGCATTTGGCCTATTTTCCACATGGTGAGGGCCGTCCTCACTGCCCCTGACCCTCCGCAGCTTCTTCAGCAGCGAACGGACATGTTGTTTGTCGGCTGGAGGGCAGAGGCCTCGGTCCTACAACAGATGCTTCTGTCCAGAAAACACTACTAAGTGTGCTTAGGGTCAAACCCCTGCCAGCCATCACTGGCACAAAGTAAAGAGACAATACTGAGCTTATTGAAACAGGATTTCAATTGCCACATATCTGATGACTTCTTGCTGAGATAGAGTTCACATATTGAGGTGAAATACATGATATAACAGGTGGAACGTCTGTAGAACCTAACACACTTCAGCATGTCTATGCTTGCCAGTTAAATAAACAAGTGACAGAGAGCTGAGACCTCCAGCAAATGGGATTAAATGGTCCCTGCCATTTTTCAGGCCTCTCACCTATATCAGAGGACTGGTAGTTCTCAGAAAAACGTGTACTTCGAAAAATGTGAACATCATATTCTAGTTACTCTCTTTTTAAAGGTAATACCACATGAACCTTTGTGTACTATGTTCCATGTTTTACTACATATATGTATACATTTTAAAATCTTTATTGTTGGAAGTATTACCTACTCCTCACTCTTTCCCCATTGACCTCTTCCAGCCTGCTCCCCCCAGGCCCGCAGCACCCCACTGCCTGTGTCACTGGTGATGCTCATTGGTTGTTCTCTTCCCACCCACCCACCCTCCCCTGCCTTCCCTCTGAGGTTCAGCAGTTTGTCCCATGCTTCTGTCTCTGGGTCCATTTTTGTTCATCAGTTTATTTTGTTCATTAGATTCCACATATGAGTGAGACATGTGATACTTGTCTTTCTCTGACTTAGCATAATGCTCTTCCGGTCCTCCCACACTGTTGCACATGGTAAGAATTATTTCTTTTTTACAGCCGAGTAGTGCTCCACGGCGGAGCTGTGCCACAGCTTCATCCCCTTGTCTGCTGCTTCCCAGCCTCAGGGATGGTAAATGGTGCTGCTGGAATATAGGGTGCATATCCTCAAACTTTTCAGCATAAACAAGAAAGGGAACATTTAGGAAGGGAAGCTGACTCAGGGTAACAAACTAGAAAGAAATATTTCCCCTTATTTTCTTTTTTAATATAGTTTAACGCTCTATCCACTGAGCCACACCAGTCGGGGCTCCCCTTATTTTCCAAGAGCTAAACAACCCCATGTTGTTGTCGTCTGCAGTGTATTCGGATTGGCCCTGTGCGGCGTGTTTACTAGCCAGACGCGTGGTGTTTGGGAGTTATCGGAAACACGGACGTGATTTGTTAAGAGGCTGTAAGTGATTTATGATATGAAACACAGTCCTCTGTGCACGGCCCCCGCCAGTCCCGCTGGGGAGACTTCCTGGTTACACTGACGCAGAGCCTCCGCTACTGGCAGGGCCACAATGGCCAGAAATGGCTCCCAGGGACGGCTCTGCCCGGTCTGGACACAAAAGCTGTTCCCTCCTATCTCCCTCTTTCGGACGGATCGGAGCCGCTTCCCTAGACGCCTGTGAGAGAGGGGACCCCAAAGTCCCAGAGGAGAACTCTACTTCCCATCATAGCCCACATTACCTTCCGCCTCCTTGTTTTATGCAGAGACAGTGGCGTGGGTGCAAGCACAGGCCGGCCCTCGCTGGGGTCACGGCAGCTGCCACCGAGCGTGGCCTGTGGTCCAGGTAGTTGGCGTGATAGCTCTGATCCCACAGGCATCACAAGGAGCAGCAGCGATTGCCAATACGCCAGGCCACGCCCTTGACAGGTGTTTGCAATCCAGTCCTCACACAGCCGAGTCTCCCGGGCCCAAGGGCGTCGTTAGGGGAGGAGGCATGTGCCCGTGTGGAGCCCTGAGCGCAGAGCCGTCCACCTGCTGTGGGGCGTAGTGTCCGGGTCCACCCCCAGCGCCACGGAGGACCGGCCCTGCTGGCGTGTCTAGAAGCCACACTTTGCTTTTGTGTGTATTGTTTTTAATGTTTTTATTGATGTCAGAGAGGAAGGGAGAGGGGCAGAGAGAGAGAAGCATCAGTGATGAGAGAGAACCCCTGATCGGCTGCCTCCTGCACGCACCCCCTGGGGACTGAGCCTGGCATGTGCCCTGCCTGGGAATCAAACTGTGACCTCCTGGTTCTCAGGCAGACGCTCCAGCCCTGCGCAGCCGGCGTCCACTGTAGACCCGCACTCACGGGTGACATGCTTAGCTGGGTGACAAGGGCGGAGCTGGCAAATGGGAGGTGTGTGCACGCTTGGTGGCAGCGATGACACCTGCACTGCGTGGGAAGAAACAGGTGAGAGCATGGGAAGGCGAAGGAGGAAAGGAGGAGAGGAAGAAGAGGCAGTTTGGAGAGACGAGTGTTTCTCTCCCTTCGCCCCCCAAAGCCACGGAGACAGAGCAGCATCGCTGTGGGGACTGGGCCCCACAGCAGTTGCCCACCATCGGGGCAGCCTCCAGGTTGCCCTGGAGACACCAGAAAACTCACTTTTACTGAACGTCTTCACTGACTGAGGCTCCGGGGAGTGCAGGCTTCCGGCAGGCCGGCGGTCTGCACACCCAGGGTGAGCGGACTCTCACCAGGAGCGGCCTGGCGGCCGGTGCCGGCAGCGCCCGGAGCAGCTCGGCCGCGGCCGTGATGCTTTTGTCGCTCTGTGAACATGTCTTGGAGTCGCGCAAAGGGCACTCCTCGGTCTGTGGGTTCTCTCCCTCTCATTTTAGAGGAAATCTATCCATGTTGTTGCGTGTGGCGCCCTGCTCTCTCAGTGCGAGTGAGATGACACTGTTGTTTGTCTCTTTAGCTGCCAGTGGCTACGTGGTGCCTTTTGGGTGGAACTGCAACAGGAGCTATGCGTGTGCTCATGTATTATCTCTTACACATATGTGCACACTTCTTAAGATACATGTTGTGTTTATATGTGTACATATTTATAGTAATGCTGACTTCACGTGTATGCTGCATGTACTGCTCACAGACTATGCATAGCTTCAGTCTTTCTAGGTCCTGCCCAACCATTTCCCAAAGTGGTGGCCTCAGCTGTGCTTACCAGCTGAGGGGAGACTTCTATCCACTCTGCATCCTGTGACTGTCTCTCACATCAGTTTTAAAACTGTAGCTGTCCAAGGGGGTGTGTAATCCTATCTAATAAGAGTAATATGCAAATTGACCACACCTCCACTACACCCACAAGCCATGCCCACAAGTCAATCAGGAGCAAATATGCAAATAAATCCCAACAAAGATGGCTGAGGCCACAGAGAGCAGGAGGGAGGCTTGGGTTTCCCTGACAATGGAAGAAGCCAAGCTTTCCACCTGCCCTTGCTGGCCTAGGCCTCCACTCAATGCTACAAAGTTTCAATTATAGAAGATAAACAAATCCAAACAGAAATGGCTGCCACCACGGATCTGGAGAGAGAAGGAGGCTAGAGTTCCCCCCAGTGATGGAGGAAGCCAAGCTTCTGCAGCCCTGGCTGGCCCAGGCCTCTGCTTAAGGCTACAAAGTTTCAATTATAGAAGATACATAAATCCCAACAGAAATGGCTCTATCCTATCTAATCCTATCTTATAAAAGAATAATATGTAAATTGACCATCACTCCAACACACAAGATGGCTACCTTCATGTGGTCAAAGATGACTACTCCCATGTGGACATAAGATGGCTACCACAACATGGCCAGCAGGGAAGGGCAGTTGGGAGGGACCAGGCCTGGAAGGGAGGGCAGTTGTGGGTGATCAGGCCTGCAGGGGAGGGCAGTTAGAGGTGACCAGGCCAGCAGAGGAGGGAAGTTGGGTGCAACTGGGCCTGCAGGGAAGGGCAGTTGGGAGGGACCAGGCCTGCAAGGGAGAGCAGTTAGGGGGGACTAAGTCTGCAGGGGAGGGCAGTTAGGAGCAAACAAGCTGGCAAGGGAGCAGTTAGCCATCAATCAAGCTGGCAGGGAGTGGTTATGGGGTGATCAGGCTGTCAGGCAGAAGCAGATAGGGGCAATCAGGAAGGCAGGCAGGCAGGCAAGCAGTTGGGAGTCAGCAGTACTGGATTATAAGAGGGATGTCTGATAGCCTGTTTAGGTCCGATTCTAGTAGGATCAGTCCTAAACGGGTAGTAGGACATCCCTTGAGGGGTCCCAGATTGGAGAGGGTGCAGGCTGGGCTGAGGGACACCACCCCACCCTGTAAATTTCATGCACTATGCCTCTAGTCATAACATAAAATCGTGTTTTAATTTGCATTTCCCTGGTGGGTAAAGAGAGCATATGTTTGGAAATCTTTTTTATGAGCACTGTTTGAGTGTTTGCTCATTATTCTCTTCATTGTGTCTCTTTCTATCAGTGTATTTCCAGGAGTCTTGTAGCAGGGTCTTTTCAGAGGCAGGTGTTAGAAATTTCATCTCCAGTTCGTGGTTCGGCTTTACACTCTCTTACTGGGTCTTTTGAGGAAGAAAAGTTGTTGATTTTAATGACGTCATTCTTTGTTGGCTTTTAGGTCAGGGCCCCCTGAGTCCTGTTTAAGACATCGTTGGCATGTTCTTTTGTTATCAGAGATGTTCTATTCTCACTTTTCACAGTCAGGCTGTTGTCCATCTGCCATTCAGTCCAGTGTGTGGCACGAGGTGGGGTCGGTCCTGCTTGTCTTTCCAGAGGCCTGTCCGGGCGTCCGGTGCCCACGGCCTGACGCAGCTGTGACTGCACCGCAATCTGTCTCTGCCTGTCACTGCCATTCTGACATTGTTGTGCTTTCTGCACCTTCGTCCTAAATCTTGACTTCTGCTGGTCTGAGCCTGTCAGCTTTCTTTTTCATTAGGAGAGGTTGGCCATTTGCACTTATGTGTTAATTTTTGAACATCAGCTTGTCAGTAGCCGTTTAAAAAAACCCTCTGCAGGGGTTTATTTAGATGGCATTGAATTTATAGATCAGTTTGGACAGACCAGTTAGTATCTTTATAGAGTCATTCAGACCGTGATAATAATAGATCCTTCTATTTGTTTAGTTTTCTTTCATTTCTTTCAATAATGTTTTCTGATTTGGGATAAAGTCTGCCTCTCTTCTGATAGTCATTTCTAGGTATTTGTTTATGCTGTTTTATATATTTTGTTAGATTCCATTCCATTACATTTCTTTTTCTTTTTCTTCTTCTTTTTTTTAATCCTCACCCGAGGATATTTTCAGAGAGAAGGAAGATAGAGAGAAATATTGATTGGTTGCCTCCTGCATGAGCCCTGACCAGGGCCCAGGCCAGGGGGGAGCCTACAACTGAGGTACATGCCCTTGACCAGATCACAGTGGGCTGACGCTCTATCCACTGAGCCAGTGGCCAGGGCTGGTTCCACTCCTGATTGTCTCGGGAAGGAGTTTATTTCGGCTTGCTAATCCTGCTCAGCAGCCTTGCTGGACTCACTCAGGAGCAAATTCACAAAATCGGTGTTTGAATGTCCGTCCCTCCATCCCCAGGCGGCTGCACTGCACCCGGAACTACATCCACCTCAACCTGTTCCTCTCGTTCATCCTGAGGGCCATCTCAGTGCTGGTCAAGGACGGTGTGCTGTACTCCGGCTCCAGCACCCTGCACTGCCCCGACCAGCTGGCCTCCTGGGTAAGGCCATCGGGGGCTCAGAGGGAAGTGGCCCTCACAGCTCTTGGGACCATTCATTTGCTGGTTTCTCTTTATTTGTCTGTCTCTTGTGAAGAGAGGACTGTGGAAAAGAGCAGAGAGAGAAGGGCAGCCGAGAATGGGATGAGGTAGAGGAGGCAGAAGGCAGGCGAGGAGCTAGGGCCACACGTGCCCACGGCTCAGGGTCCAGGCCACTGTCGCTGGGGCTGCATGACACCTGCCACATGTTGTGTCACCTTCCGGCGAGCTCTGCGCGCTGGCCGGGGTGCGAGGGCCTCTCTGTGAAACGCACCCGCCGTCCGGGCCTCTGCTGGGTGTCCTGCTTCCTTACACAACTGGGAAAGGGGGGGAGGGGGGGGGCCGGGAGCTGCACCAGCCTGAGGGTGTTTCTCTGAACCGGATGCGCTCCTGCTCTGACGTTGCAGGTGGGCTGCAAGCTGAGCCTGGTGTTCTTCCAGTACTGCATCATGGCCAACTTCTCCTGGCTGCTGGCGGAGGGGCTGTACCTGCACTCCCTGCTGGCCGCCAGCTTCTCCCGCGACCGCAGTCTCCAGACCTACCTCCTCATCGGGTGGGGTAAGGCCGCCCCCCGCAGGCCCTGTGCCAGCACCCCCTCAGCCGCCTGCGAGCCCACAGGTCCCTGACCTGTCCCCTTGGGACACCCTGTGCTGTCCCAGGAGGTGCCCTTCAGGCCCTGTGAGGAAGGGCACTGCCAGGACAGTGAGGTCCCTGCAGCCAACACTTCTCCAGGGAGCCAGGGAGCTGGGCTAGGCTGGCCACACCCCACCGCTGAGTGGACCGACGGGAGCCAGACAGGGCAGGAGTGCCGGCGGCTCAGGAAGGGGTCACCGGGGGACACCACAGAGAGGGGCACGTCTCCGTCCTCGGCTCGGTCACCACACTCGCCAGGCAGTCACGTGGGTCAGGCCGTGCAGGGTCAGCTTTCAGACACGCAGTGCGTTTCCGCCAGTGCGCAGCGAGGAGTACGCATAACCCCCACGGGCTCATAGGAGATAAACCCTGGTCTTGGGGCCGGGCTGACGAGGGGCCGGGGTAACTGGCGTGTCTCTGCAGGCATCCCCGCCGGATGCACAGCCGCGTGGGCCGTGGCCAGGCTCTGCTTGGAAGACACGGGGTGAGTGTGGGCCCCACGGTGCGCCATGTGCCACCGCCAGCTGTTCCTCACTGACCAGCCTTCGACCCTCACTTGAGGGGTCTCATGGGACTGGACCTGCCCCTCGGGCTCCTGCGTGACCTTCGGTGTCACCTCCCCGCAGGCAGGCTGTCACGGCGAGAACACACAAACAGACCCCCACGGTCACGCCAAGGCCTAACACACAGTCGTGTCTCCGCACGGGCCTGTGGGCGCAGGAGGGACGGAGGGCATCCCTGCAGCACCTGCCCTCGCTACTCCCTGGACAGACTCGGCAGTGAGGTCACTTTCCTTCTCTCCTTCCTGCAGTTGCTGGGATACCAACGAGCACAGTGGCCCCTGGTGGGTGATCCGAACCCCAATTCTAATCTCAATTCTCGTAAGTCATCTTGCACGAGGCAGCAGCCGCCCGCGGTGGCCGCAGGGGCAGGGCCGGCCAGTCCCCTCGGCCTTCCGGAGCCGCTCACAGGAGGGGCGTCGCTGTCCTGGGCTCAGCGCCCCTCAGCATGGGGCCTCAGAGAGCCTCCTGTGTCCTCCTGGGAGGGGCCCCGGGGGTCACAGCCTGGCCAAGGACATGTCAGAGGAGCTGGATTTCCATTTGTCCTGTCTGTGTCTCCACAATAATTTGCATGCCCTGCCGCAGCTGGGGTCCAATACGTGATGCAGACGACAGCCCGCTTCCGGCCCCAGCCGGCCTCCTGGTGGGAAACAGAACAGATTTGTATCTGTTTTGTGCAGGTCAATTTCATTCTGTTTGTGAGTATCTTGCGGATTTTACTGCAGAAGCTCACGTCCCCAGAGGCCAGAGGCAGCGAGCAGTCGCAGTACAAGTGAGTGTTTCCATGGGCCTCACAGCCTGGACACCGAGAGGGAGGGGCCACGCCAGCGTGTGGGCAGAACGGGTTCCAGGTGCTGCGGCCCTGGTCTGGCGGCTGCGGTGGAGGGCTGGGTGGGGCGTGTGTGCAGAGGCTCAGCGCTGGAGACCTTGGCGCCGCCCCGAGGTGTTTTGCCCATTGGCCTGTTTGCCACCTGACTTTTCTCCGTGGTCACACTTCATGTGTGTTGTATGTCCACCTGGAGGCCCAGTGCATGAATTCTGGCCAGCCCGTCCTGGAGAGGGTGGAACAGGGCCGGGTGGGCTGCGGGGAGGGGCTGCAGGTGATTGGCTGGTGGTCCTGGGCCCCAATGGGGTGGGGGGCCAATTGGGGGCCAGCAGCCTGGGGGAGGGTCCATGGGTGATTGGCCGGCCCTACCCTGATCAGAGTGGGGGGCCAATCGAGAGGCCAAGCTGGCTTGGGGGAGGGGCCTCAGGAGGTTGGCCAGGAGGTCCCTAGGCCACAGTAGGTGTCATAGCAACTGGTCTAGTGGTGACCGTCGCTGGCATATCTAGACTCTTCCTGCCCCCTCAGACCACAGTCTGTGCGGGCCTCACACTTCACAGTGGACATGATGCTTTAACCCCAACGAGAGTGTGGGAGCCTGGGGCGCTCGCTGTGCAGTGCGGGCCCAGCCCGGCGCTCAGGCCAGGGAGTGTGGCCGAGAGCTGGCCATCGCCGGCTCCTTCCAACCCAGGGTCCGGGCCCACGGCGGAGCACACCGCCGGAGGAGGCAGAGGGACGGTGGTCACCACCAGAGGAGGAGGAGGAGGAAGGGGGGACGGTGGTCACCACGAGAGGAGGAGGAGGAGGAGGGGGTGGACGGTGGTCACCGCTGGAGGAGGAGGAGGAGGGGGTGGACGGTGGTCACCGCCGGAGGAGGAGGAGGAGGAAGGGGTGGACGGTGGTCACCACGAGAGGAGGAGGAGGAGGGGGTGGACGGTGGTCACCGCCGGAGGAGGAGGAGGAGGAGGAGGAGGGGGTAGACGGTGGTCACCGCCGGAGGAGGAGGAGGAGGAAGGGGTGGACGGTGGTCACCACGAGAGGAGGAGGAGGAGGAAGAGGGGGTGGACGGTGGTCACCGCCGGAGGAGGAGGAGGAGGAGGAGGGGGTGGGCGGTGGTCACCGCCGGAGGAGGAGGAGGAGGAGGAGGGGGTGGACGGTGGTCACCACGAGAGGAGGAGGAGGAGGAGGGGGTGGACGGTGATCACCGCCGGAGGAGGAGGAGGAGGAGGGAGTGGACAGTGGTCACCGCCGGAGGAGGAGGAGGAGGAGGGGGTGGACGGTGGTCACCGCCGGAGGAGGAGGAGGAGGAGGAGGGAGTGGACGGTGGTCACTGCCGGAGGAGGAGGAGGAGGAGGGGGTGGACGGTGGTCACCGGAGGAGGAGGAGGAGAAGGAGGAGGAGGAGGAGGAGAGGGTGGACGGTGATCACCGCCAGAGGAGGAGGAGGAGGGGGTGGACGGTGATCACTGCCGGAGGAGGAGGAGGGGGGGGTGGACGGTGGTCACCGGAGGAGGAGGAGGAGAAGGAGGAGGAGGAGGAGGAGGAGGAGAGGGTGGACGGTGATCACCGCCAGAGGAGGAGGAGGAGGAGGGGGTGGACGGTGGTCACCGGAGGAGGAGGAGGAGAAGGAGGAGGAGGAGGAGGAGGAGGAGAGGGTGGACGGTGATCACCGCCAGAGGAGGAGGAGGAGGAGGGGGTGGACGGTGGTCACTGCCGGAGGAGGAGGAGGAGGAGGGGTGGACGGTGGTCTCCGCCGGAGGAGGAGGAGGAGGAGGAGGAGGAGGAGAGGGTGGACGGTGATCACTGCCGGAGGAGGAGGAGGAGGGGGTGGACGGTGATCACCGCAGGAGGAGGAGGAGGGGGTGGACGGTGGTCACCGCTGGAGGAGGAGGAGGGGGTGGACGGTGGTCACCGCTGGAGGAGGAGGAGGGGGTGGACGGTGGTCTCCGCCAGAGGAGGAGGAGGAGGAGGAGGAGGAGGAGGAGGACGGTGGTCTCCGCCAGAGGGGAAGGAGGAGGAGGAGGAGGAGGAGGAGGAGGGGTGGGCGGTGGTCACCGCCGGAGGAGGAGGAGGAGGAGGAGGGGGTGGACGGTGGTCAGGAAGTGTCGAGCGTCCTCCAGGGCCATGCATAGCGAGCATGTGAATAGACAGGAGGGTGTGAGGGTGGACAAGTCGAGGCACTCCTTCTCTGCAGCCCGCCTGGCGCTGGGCTTTCCCGCTGGACAGTGAGGGGTCACAGGGCGTTGCCACGGTCACACCCGGCCCAGCTCCGTCCGTCTATCTGCAGAAGGCTGACCAAGTCCACGCTGCTGCTCATCCCGCTGTTCGGCGTCCACTACGTGGTGTGTGCCGTGCTGCCCACGGACGCCTCCGCCCGGTTCCAGCTGCTGTGGGAGCTGTGCTTGGGCTCCTTCCAGGTGCGGGCGGGCGGGCGGGCGGGCGGGGGCTGCCCTGTCTTGCCGCCGGTGTGCCCTGACCGCCTCTCTCCGCAGGGCCTGGCGGTGGCGGTTCTCTACTGCTTCCTCAACAGCGACGTGAGTCCGGGAGCCACGCGGGTGTGGGGGAGGGGCCGCGGGAGGGTGGCCGGGAGGTTTGCCAGCCACAGTGGGCTCGTGAGCTCCTCAGGGGCCAGTCCGCACACCCGGTTGTGAGGGTTTCCCAAAACCCCCCAGCCTGGACACTGCCGGCGAAGGCGCCAGCGCGGCCCCAGCCCACGCAGCCAGGACCAAGTCCTCCCTGCGTGGCCTGGCCTCTTCACCCCGAGCCTCGAGCACGGGTGCCCATGCCGGCACCCTGAGCCCAGAGCGGCAGGGGGGGCCCTCCAAGGCCACCTGCTCCCTGGCGCTTGCCCTCTGCTCTGTCCCGGAGTGCCCATCATTTCCCATGCTCCCTGGTGACACCTGAGCCAAGGGCGCCTTCCCAGACTGTCCCGTGGCCCCCTCCTCCTGTCAGGACCCACGCTTCCCATCTTTCTGCCAAGTCCCGCTCCTGAGTCCCTACCCAGCTGCAGCAACTGCGGTGACCGTTTCAGCCAGGCCACCCCCAACTCCTGCTCTTGAACCCCCCTCCCAGTTTACTGCTGCGGTGGCCCCTCTGGAGTCACAGTTCTGCAGAGCAGAGCAGGCCGCCAGCCCGGCACTGAGCCCCTCGGGGCAGGCACGCTCACACAGCCCCAGGCGCAGTGCCCTGGGCAGCCAGCCCAGCCCCAGCTTTCTCCTGCTGGTGTGGCAGCCGGCACAGCGCCTCCCGCCTCCCGGAGCCCAGCCATGGCCACCGCCCTCCATCCTCACACCTGCCCACCCCTCCACACAGCCTGTCCACACAGGCTCCACCTACACTCCCATGGCCTCTGCTGAGGTCTAGGTTGCATGTCGCGGCTCCGCTGGGCCCGCCACTGTCAATGGACTCAACCAGCTCCCAGCAGCGGCTCCCACAGTCAGGATACCCACGGCCCCCGGTCGACATCCCCTTCCGTTCCCGCCTCTTCCTGAGCCCGTCCCGTGTGTCCGCCTGAGGGACGCTGAGGAATGGCACCAGGAGGGGCAGAGGGAGCAGTGTGTTCTGCGGGGCACCCCTGCCCAGGGCACCCGAGCACCTCCTGACCGGCTCCTGTTGCTCTGCCCTGACCCCCAGGTGCAGCACGAGCTGCGAAGGAAGTGGCAGAGCCTGTGTCCGCGTCAGCCCTCTGGACGGGGCGGCCGGCTCCACAGCCTGTCCATCTCCAGGACCGGCTCGGAGAGCACCCTGCCTTCCCACCGCGGCCCCCACACCCCGGCCTTCCTTCAGACGGAGACCTCGGTCATCTAGCCGGCCGACGCGCCCGGGAGCCGGGGAGCCAGCACCGCTCGGCGCAGGTCTCCTCGTGGCTAAGCTGTTCCCTAGCAGCTGCTTGTTCGTCGCTTGGCCGTATGGACGGACCCATTTACAAAGAGAACAACGGGGACCAAGTGACCCGAGCAAGAGGCGCGGCCCCTGCCGGGAAGGCTCCGCCTGGACATCGTCCTCAGAGGGAGCGGCCCCCGCATGCCATCCCTGCCCGCCCGGTCCCCAGGCTGCGCGGCTGCGGGCACCGGAGCCGGCGAGGACCTCTCCTGCTTCCAGGCCACAGCGCGGGAGCAGCGTGCTCCGGGTCCTGCGTTAGGGGGCTCCGCCCTGAGGGACACCGTGCGCTCCTCCAGGCCCTCCCCCGCGGCCGGGCGTTGGGCAGCAGACACGGGAGAAGGGCTCCTGAGGAAAGCAGCCCTGCCCTCTCCGTGAGGGCAGGTCTTACTGCGAGGACAGCGCTCTGAGGCCTCCGTGCACGCGGGGCGGCCGCCCGCCCGCCGGTGAGCCTGGAGGCCGTCCGGGAGCGGCCACAGGCGGAGGGAGAGGGCGGTGCGGCCACCCCCGGGGAGCACCTGGCCTGCTGCGCCCCTTACACACGCCCCTCTCCTTCCACCTGGGAGCGCGGCCACAGGGATGGTGGCGGGAGCGGCCGGGCGGTCTGCACCCAGACACCCTGAGCCGGGCCCTCTCGCCGGCCGGGGTCACAGACGGTGTTCGCCCGCGCCGGGCTGTGCCTGGGTCACGGCGGACACAGCTTCCCTCGGCGTCATCGCGGCCCTGAGAGCCGCACAAGCCTCCTGCCCGGGAACGGAGGGCGCTTTGCTGGTAGTTGACAGGAGACGTGACCAGCCGCTGTATCGTTTTAAAATGTATATGTGTGTGTGCCTGTGTAAACAGCTCAGTAAACCTGTCATATCTGCCCGTGTGTCAGAAGCCCCTTGGAGCCCTGGGCCTCACGCTGAGGAGGGACGACCCCCGTCTGAGGCCGCCCGGACGAGGGAGCGGTCGTGGGCATGCTCCTGCGTGGCCTCGGAAAGGCCGCCGCCCGTGCTGCTGCAGCTGACGGGCGTACGCGGGGCGGCTGCTCAGCACGGCACAGCTCCGTCATCCGAGGGTGGGTCTGTGTGTGGTCGCCCCTCCACAGAAGCCCAGCCTGCTGAGTGGATGCAGGTGAACATGTGTGAGTGCATGTCTGTGTGCACACTGGTATGAGCATGTCTGTGTACACATGCATGTGTGTGTAGGCCTTGGATAACCCCAACCTCATTTCTGCCAGAAGCAGAAAAAAATCTATTTCTGATAAACTTCATGCCCAACCAAACTGCTCCATTTCACAATGAGGAGCACCCACCTGCTCAAACCTACATTGTCCAGAGGAGAGGGTCCAAGGCGAGCGGACAGACAGCCGCTGTGCTTTTCCTAAGAGCAAAGCAGGTGGGAGTGAGGAGACCAGCAGGTGTGAGCAGGAAGCTCCAGGTGGCGGGCAGAGGGGGCAGCCTGGCGCCCTGCCCATCCAGGTGGCGGTGGCGGAGGCTTTGTCTCCACGTTACAGACAGCACACACTGCAGTCTCCCGCCTCAGTCATTCCCGGGAGGCTGTAAGTGCAGTGACCCGTCTTCCCGGGGGCTCCCTCCGCCTCTCTCTCCCTGTTCCCCACGGAAGGGGTCGCTGTCCATCCCTGTTTTCCTCAGGAAGAAGGGGTGCAGTTCGGGCAGCAGCTCTCTCGTTAAGATGAGGCATTGGCCTTGAGACACAGACTGTGCTCCCCTCACCGCATGTGTGTTCCTCAGGGCCTCCCGTCCCTCTCCCACCACCGCTCCTCTCCCTCACCCCCCCCCCCCCCCCCCGCACACACCGAGTGTCCCTGCGTTCCCACAGAGCAAACCGGCAGTGGGCCTAAGGTTGGGCCTAAGGTTGGGCTTGGGCGGGCACACCGCCCAGGCTGGGTGGCTCCTCACACTGTGCCGCCCCGCAGGCTGCCCCTGCAGCCCTGGGGACAGCTTCCCCAGGAGGCCACCTCCGCTCTGGCCTGAGTGGCCTGCCTGCATGCGATGTCGCAGGCTGCCTTCCCTCCTAGGACGGCGGAGAGGCCGCCTGCGGTGGCAGCACAAAGGATTGAGGCCGCCTTTTATGTGGACTTGTCCTTTGAAAGGTGGAGAGAAAAGGACTCTCAAAAGGTTCAGCAAGGTGCTCGCTTCGGCAGCACATATACAAAAGGTTCAGCAAGGACCCTGCAGGGGGGGGGGGGGGGGGGCGTGGCTCATGCAGGCCCAGTGGGGCACCGCGTTGCTGGGATCTTTTCTGAGCTGAAGTCCAACCCTGGGACCGAGAAACAAGGAAATAAACGATGGTGACGCGGTCAGAGTCGTGAAGACCAGCCAGGCCGAGCTCTCCTTTGAGATGGTGGTTGCTCACCTCTTGTGCTGCTTGAGTCTGAGAAACAGCACAAAACTCAGGCTTCGTGGTTTAAATCGTTACAGTATCTAAAATACGCAAGGCTGGTGATTTTCAAATCACACGATTACAGTCCTCTCAGATATACTAGCGGGAAACACCACACGCAGGAGGCCAGGCAGGCTCACACTCTGCAGGGCTTTATGTGTTAATCCTCACCCAAGGATATTTTTTTCTATTGACTTTTTTTAAAGTAAATTTTTATTGATTTCGGAGAGGAAGGGAGAGGGAGAGAGAAACGTTAATGATGAGAGAGATTCGTGATCAGCTGCCTCCTGCATGCCCCCCACTGGAGATAGAGCCTGAAACCTCTACATGTGCCCTGATCAGGAATCAAACCGTGACTTCCTGGTTCATAGGTCAATGCTCACCCACCGACCGAGCCACACTGGCTGGGCTTCCATTGATTTTTAGAAAGTGTGGAGGGAGGGAGAGAGGAAGAGAGAGAGGAAGTGAAACAGCGATGTGAGAGACTCATTGCCACACACCACAACCCAGGAGGAGGGGAGGAGGCGGGACCGCGCCCCCTGCAGGACCAGCCTGCAGCCCAGGTGCGTGCCCCGACCAGAAAGGAAGCCTGTGCAGTCAGAGCACGTTCCCGGAGCCACCTGCAGCGGGAACCCCGGTCCACAGCTCTGCGGAGGCCGCCACGTGTCTGCCACGTCTCTGCACGTGTGTCCATGTGCACAGGAGGTGCTGGCATCCGGGGCACTCAGGCTGCCCACCCTCAGGGGGCGCTGCCTCGCCATCCTCCCCTCCTCCAGAGCTGCTGTGGGGCCTCCGGGGCGGTGGCCTGGGGAGGGGGTAGCTCCTATGGCACCCTGCAGTCACAGGAAACTGCCAGGCTCCCCTCGGCGTGGGCGTGCAGGAGACAGGCCTAGTTCAGCCAGGAAGGAAGGGTTGAAGGAGGAGGCCGGGGCTGAGGGCCATATGTCCTGGCAGCTGGGGTCCCAGGGGTGCCCCAGGGCTGGGAGACAGGGAGCTGGCTGGCCTGGCACATGCCCAGAGCCTGGAGCCAGCATGGCATTGGCACAGAGCCGTCCATTTGGGGAGCAGCCCGCAGCCCGCAGCCCCTACAGCCCACAGCCTGCAGGCCGCAGCCCACATCCCACAGCCCAGCACAGCCCACAGCCCACAGCCCAGCACAGCCCACAGCCCACAGCCCACAGCCCACAGCCAAGCACAGCCCACAGCCCAGCACAGCCCAGCCCACAGCCCACAGCCCACAGCCCAGCCCACAGCCCACAGCCCAGCCCACAGCCCACAGCCCACAGCCCACAGCCCAGCACAGCCCACAGCCCACAGCCCACAGCCCACAGCCCACAGCCCACAGCCCAGCACAGCCCACAGCCCACAGCCCAGCACAGCCCACAGCCCACAGCCCACAACCCAGCACAGCCCACAGCCCACAGCCCACAGCCCACAGCCCACAGCCCACAGCCCAGCACAGCCCACAGCACAGCCCACAGCCCACAGCCCACAGCCCACAGTCCAGCCCACAGCCCAGCACAGCCCACAGCCCACAGCCCAGCCCACAGCCCACAGCCCACAGCCCACAGCCCAGCACAGCCCACAGCCCACAGCCCACAGTCCAGCCCACAGCCCAGCACAGCCCACAGCCCACAGCCCACAGCCCACAGCCACAGCCCACAGCCCACAGCCACAGCCCAGCCCACAGCCCACAGCCCACAGCCCAGCACAGCCCACAGCCCACAGCCCACAGCCCACAGCCCACAGCCCACAGCCCAGCCCAGTCCACAGCCCACAGCCCAGCCCACAGCCCACAGCCCACAGCCCACAGCCCACAGCCCACAGCCCACAGCCCACAGCCCAGCACAGCCCACAGCCCGCAGCTGCAGGGCAGGCGCAGCAGTGCTCAGGAAGGAGAGGACGCGCTGGCCCTGCCAGAGGCTGAGGCTGTGCTCCAGCGCCGAGGGCCACGCCCACTGCCACAGGGTTTGGCTTATTTCTTGAAAATACATTTGAAATCATTTAACTCCAAGAGAGAAAAAAGCTGATTCGAAACGAAGAGGCTCCATTTGTCCTGCAGGGGGCCTGGGCTCCTTGCAGAGGGGTCTGTTCTTGCTGATTCTGTTCTCAGCACCGCTGGCGTCAAAGGAAGCACCTTCCCAGCCTCCAGGCCCCAGGGGCCCCTCAGCCCCAGAGGGGAGGCGGGCTGCCCCAAAGGGTCCGAGCTGCTGGGACGGAGAGCCGGGGGGCCTGGCCAGACGTCTCCTCGCTCAGGCTCCGCGAGAACAGACCCGTGGGAACCAGAGCAGAAATTCCGCCCGGCCCAGCCCTCAGCCGGGCTGGTGTGAGGAGGACATTGCTCCCTGAAGCCAGGCCCTGCCCCCGTGCTCACGGTGCCTGCATCGCCGGCAGGGTCTTGAGGCACCTTGGAGTGGGGAGGGAAATAATAAAAATTCATCCTCAAAACCAAAGAAGAATGAGCATCTGTTAGCACTTCACATGATAAATATAAATCTTAAAGGGACTGGAGAGTTTAAATGCACTAAAACTGAACCCAAGGCGCTCGGAGGGGTGGCCTGAGGAAAGGGGAGGCTTCCCTTCCTGAATGAGACAGCCTCCTTGGAGGAAACGCCACCCCCACGCTCAGGCCAGCAGCCATGACTCGGGCTGAGACCAAGGCGGAAAGAGCTGCAGGATCTGAAAGAGGAGTTCAGGCCCCTCAGTGAGCAACGCCACAGCGCCAACACGCACACAGGAGGCCCGGGCGGTACGGGGCCAACACGCACACAGGAGGCCAGGGCGGTACGGGGGCCAACACGCACACAGGAGGCCCGGGCGGTACGGGGCCAACACGCACACAGGAGGCCCGGGCGGTACCGGGCCAACACGCACACAGGAGGCCTGGGCGGTACCGGGCCAACACGGATACAGGAGGCCCGGGCGGTACCGGGCCAACACGGATACAAGAGGCCTGGGCGGTACCGGGCCAACACGGATACAGGAGGCCCGGGTGGGAGCCGCCAACGCGCACACAGGAGGCCCAGGCACGGTGTTCTGCCCAACACGCACACAGGAGGCCCGGGCACGGTGTTCTGCCCAACGCGCACACAGGAGGCCCGGGCGGTACGGGGCCAACGCGCACACAGGAGGCCCGGGCGGTACGGGGGCCAACGCGCACACAGGAGGCCCGGGCGGTACGGGGGCCAACGCGCACACAGGAGGCCCGGGCGGTACGGGGGCCAACGCGCACACAGGAGGCCCGGGCGGTACGGGGCCAACACGCACACAGGAGGCCTGGGCGGTACCACGGGCCAACACGCACACGGAGGCCTGGGCGTACCAGGGCCAACACGGATACAGGAGGCCCGGGCGGTACCGGGCCAACACGGATACAGGAGGCCCGGGTGGGAGCCGCCAACGCGCACACAGGAGGCCCAGGCGGTATGGGGCCAACGCGCACACAGGAGGCCGGGCGGTACGGGGGCCAACGCGCACACAGGAGGCCCAGGCGGTACGGGGGCCAACGCGCACACAGGAGGCCAGGGCGGTACGGGGCCAACACGCACACAGGAGGCCCGGGCGGTACCGGGCCAACACGCACACAGGAGGCCTGGGCGGTACCGGGCCAACACGCACACAGGAGGCCCAGGCGGTACGGGGCCAAC